GCGAAACTCGGGGTCGGCTTGGTAGCCGAGGATGAATCTGTTCCGCAGGTCATCGTCAATCTCGAAAGTCGAGTAGACCGCGGTACAGTGATCCGGACGCCGTGAAAGAGCATCCGCACAACGGTTCGACTTCCCGGGAATGTGATCGGGAAAGAAGTCGAACTGGTTGATGAAAGTCATCCATCGAGCGATGGTGCTGTTGACGGTGTCTTGGGTCTTGTAGAAGACCAACGGATTGTTGTCCGTTACCCAGCGAAATTGGCTTCAACCAAGGAGGAAGTGCCGCCACCGCTTGAGCGCGTGGACGAAGGCGAGGAGCTCCTTCTTGCGTGCATCGTCAGTGGAATGCACGAGTGGCACTTTCTTGCTGAAGTACTCGACCGGGTGCCAGTCCACACCACCATCATGTTGCTCGAGGACTGCACCAATGCCATAGCCTGACGCATCCGTAGTGACACGTGTAGGCGCGAGCGGGTCGTATATCCGCAAGACCTCCGCAGACAATAGCGCGACTTTGAGAGCGAGGAATGATCCCCGCGCCTCCTCTCCAAAGTCAAACGGCCGATCCTCGCACTGAAGCTTGTTCAAGTGGGGCGCGATCTTGGAGTAGCCTTTGATGAAGCGCTGATAGTAGCCGGTAAGACCGAGGAACGAGCGGACATCCGTGACGTTCCGAGGTTCCGACCACTCTTGGACTGCCTGAATCTTGTCCAATAGCGGACTGATGCCCTCCGGTGTGACAAAATGGCCCAAGTATTCCAGCTCTTGCCGGACAAATTCGCACTTGTAGCGGATGGCCTTGTACTTGGCACGGCGGAGCGTCTCCAACACTCGTCGAAGATGTCCAAGATGATCCTCCAATGTCCGGCTGTAGAGGAGAATATCGTCTAAGTAGACCAGCACGAACCGGTCCAACATTGCACGGAACTCATTGGTCATCGCCGCCTGGAATGTCGTCGGGGCGTTGGTGAGGCCAAAAGGCATGACCACCCACTCAAAATGCCCGTACCGCGTCTTGAATGCGGTTTTATAGCGATCATTCGGCTGAATCGAGATTTGATGATATCCTGATTTCAAATCCAACTTGGAAAAATACTTCGCACCGCCCAGCCGCTCGAGAAGATCGTCGATGCGAGGAAGAGGCCCCGCATTCTTGACGGTTTGCGCGTTGAGCTTGCGGTAGTCGATACACAATCGTAGATCCTTATTCTTCTTCCTGATGAAGAGAACTGGTGCTCCATATGGGGAGCTACTCGGGCGGATCCAGCCCTTGGCCAACAAATCATCGAGTTGTGCGCGGAGTACCTCAAGCTCCTCCTCGCTCATCCGATAGATGCAAACTTTCGGCGGCACGGCACCGGCCTCAAGAATGATCTCGTGAGAGATCGGCCGACCCGGCACCACACCGGTAGGTGACTCGAAGATGTCGGCGAACTCGTCCAGCAACCGTACCACACGAGGGTCCGAAGACAAGTTCGTGGGTGAAGAGTCGGCTACCGCGACGGTCCGTAGGAAACATATGCCGATCTCCTCGGGCTGCTCGTAAGCACAAGTCGCCCAGAATGATTTGGTCGTCACCACTTGGCACCGGATCGAAGAGTGCGGTAGAGGAATCATACACGCCACTTCCACGCCGAAGGCGTCGCGAACGCTAAGAGTCCGCCGATGGAAGTTGACCGTGTGATCCGCACTTGCAAGCCAAGGCATTCCCAGAATGATGTCGAAGTCCGTGTCGAGAATATCGAATGTCACCGGTTCGCATGCATGAGGTGCGAAGTAGACCGGTACGGCCTCGATGTAACGGTCGAGTAGTTGCTGCGTCTTTCCATCCGCCAACTTGATCGCCGTCGGGTTTGCCTTTCTCCGAACTTGTGCGCCAAGGCCATCTCTTTGCATAAAAGACTGGCTCATGAAGTTGCGAGTCGCGCCGCTATCCAGCAAAGCGCTGCAGGACGCTTGCCCAACCTGGATGCGGACATACATGAGCGGTGCATTGTTGTTATCGTACCGCTGCGTGCGAAACTCGCGGGCCACCTTGGTAACGTACGTCAGGATGTCCCCCACCGCGACTTCGTCATCCGTCGACGAAGTTGGTGGTGCATAAAAGGAAAGGTAAGTGTGGATGAGCGCTAAGTGTTGCGCATTGCGGTCCCGGCAAACAGCCTGTGGTCGGGAGAGGAAGCCATGCAAAGTCCTCAGACGTGAGCGGGTCCAAAACCTCTATCTTGAACTCGCGCGCCGAATCCCGTGACGAACCACTTGAAGATGTGTATCGACTATTGCGGTTTAAACCGCATCACAAGAAAGAACGCCTACCCATTGCCTCGCATAGATGACTTGCTTGATGCTGCAGGCGGGTGCAAGGTCTTCTCCAAGATCGATCTCAAGTCTAGCTATCACTAGATTGAAGTTGATCCTGCGGACCAACACAAGACTGCGTTCAAAACACGCGATGGGCTTTACGAGTTTATCGTAATGCCCTTCGGTCTCACGAACGTGCCGGCCACCTTTCTAAGCCTCATGGACAAGGTCCTCCGCGAACAGATTGGTCGGTTCGTGGTGGTATACCTTGACGATATACTGATCTTCAACAAATCCATGGAGGAACACAAAGCACCTTGAGGATGTGTTCACTATCCTCAAGGGGACGCAACTTCATCTCAACTTAGAGAAATCTGAGTTTGGGAGGGATAGTGTCATCTATCTTGGGCATCGGTTGTCTGTTGCAGGTCTAGAGCCTGAGGCAACCAAGGTTGAAGTCATACGCAATTGGCCTCAGCCACGGACATCCGCGAACTGCGCTCTTTCCTTGGTCTCACGTCATACTACCGGAAGTTTGTGCCCCGCTTCTCTATTGTTGCTCGCCCGTTGTCCCGGTTAACAAGTAAGAACGTTCCCTACTCTTGGGATACTGCATGTGAGGACGCTTTTCAAGCTTTGAAAGAAGTTTTGGTATGTTACCCTGTACTCCGCATTGCAGATTCCAAACTGACTTTCGTAGTCACTACGGACGCAAGGCAGTATGGAATTGGCGCAGTGCTGCAGCAAGATGACGGCGATGGTCTGCGGCCGCTCGAATATTACAGCAAACGCATGCCCAGCGAAAAGGTAGCCACTTCCACCTACATGCGCGAGCTCTATGCTTTGTTTATGACTTTGGACCATTGGAAGCACCATCTTTTGGGACGCCACTTCAAAGTGTTCTCAAATCATGAGACTCTGAAGTGGATCAAAGAGCAAACAACCCTGTCCCCTACGTTACTTCGCTGGTTCCATGAAATTGACATTTTTTATTATGAGTTGAGACACAAAAAGGGTTGTTACAATCGAGTTGTTGATGCATTGTCTCACCACCCTGAGTACATGACTTGCCTTGTAAATTCCTACGACCTCCGGAAGAAACTGAAGGAGGAGCTCATAAAACACACTGCCAAGGATCCGGACCTTTGTCCCATCCTTGACCAGTTGCGGGCTGACCCCAGCAGTCAGCCTGATTTTCATGTGTATGGAGGACTGATTTTCCGTCGCTACGGGAACCACGACCATTTGTGTGTGCCCAACCATAAGCCTCTCCGCATGCACTTTCTGGACTTGGCTCATGGCCGAAATTGAAAGACATATGGAAACCTATTTAGACAGTTTGATTGGCCTGGCATGAAGGGGTCTGCTGAAATGTTTGTGGCTGAATGTCAAGTCTGTCAACGCATCAAACCATGTAGACAAAAGCCCATGGGGCTACTCACACCCCTTCCCATTCCCGATGGACCCAAGGAGTCCATCTCCGTCGACTTCACTGACATGGGAAAGGTAAGCAAGAATGGTGATTCACAAGTCATGGTGATTGTTGACCGCTTCTCTAAATTTCTGAATTTGAATCCTTTGTCATCTTATGCTGCAATGAATTGGTGATCCGTGAGTTCAAACAGAAATACATTTTGCAGTTCGGAACCCCGAAAACTCTCGCGAGTGATCGGGACCCGCGCTTCATCAGTACGGAATGGATTGACTTCACGTCCCAACTCCCTGGCCTCAAGTTATGCATGACATCTTGCCGACACCCCGAAGCCAACGGTTTGGCAGAGGAAATCAACCAGACTGTGTTCCAACTTCTTCGCGCTTTAAGCATTCCGGATCAGGAAACATGGGATGAAGAGCTGTATTCCGTCAAGGGGTTGTACAACAACTCCATCCATTCTGTCACCGGCATGACACCAAACAGGCTGCATTACAGTTGGCAGATTTGTAATCCGCTCTCCTACCAATTCCCTGAGCAGCCAGCTGGTTTAACACCCGGCAGGTCTGGCTTCAGGGCCAAGTAAATCGCTTGCTCAAAGTTGCCATTGCAGCAATGACCAAGCGACAGCACGCCATGATCCATCATGCAAACAAGAAGCGTCGACCTCCAGATATTGAGGTGGGAAGTTATATCTGGGTCAAGATGTCTGGATTTTCAGAAGAAGAGGGAGTTTCACGCAAACTTCTCCCAGTCTATTATGGTCCGTGGGAAGTTCTAGATGTGATTGGCGAAGATAGCATTGACCCTTCATACGTAGTTGTTGTGCCACCTCATCTGCGCACATATCCCGTTTTTCATGCATCGAAACTGTATTTCCACCGTGATGCTAAATCGTTCAATTACCGTGAAGACATGATTCCTCGTGCAATCAATGGCGGACATGAGATAGACAAGATTAAACAGCACGTAGGGAAGGGACGAAACAGACAGTACCAGGTTCATTTCATGTATCACCCGTTGGATGATCTACATTGGATTTCCAAGCAGGAACTGCTGCGCAGCGCACCGCACGCTGTTAAAGCCTACGAGCGGCAAATCGCCTCTAATGATGCACCTAAAATCTCTGCCAAGCTCACTGCGACAGTGTATTCTCGAAATCTCTTTGCCTTGTTTGCCTACCATGCGTTTGTCGGGGACTCAGAACGAGTTACTCGCTCGAAGGGACCTCGCTCTCGAGGGGGGAGTAGTGTGATGACCCGACCAAACATGGACTGAAACACACAGCTGATTTCTGAGTTTTGCTCATAGACTAAATGCCTTGCTGAGTTTCCCGCTTGCTACTAAGTTCTCTAAGTCTGTGTGTAGGCACGCTTACTGGACTGCATGTCTGTCTGAGCGTTGGTTGGCTTGAGTGTGCGTGTGGCCCGCAAGGGCACTTGTTCGTTTGTTGGGCCCTCAGGGCCGGTACTTACCTGTGGTCGTGACATTGAGGGATTGCGGCAGGGAAAAACACTCAAGTAGCAGGTAGGTCGGTACCGCACCCTGAAGAGGTAGATGTGCGGGTACTGGAGCCCGAGCAGAAGAAGACAAAAGTGGCATTTTGAAGAGGCCCAGTAGTTGTAGGCTAGGTCTAGGCGGGTACCAGTCCAACCAGTCTGAGTCTAGGGCCTGTACGAGCAATATCAGAGTCTGCAATGATGTTTCCCTCCGAAAGGGAGGAGGTACCGGTTGCTTGGGAAGGCCGAGCGGTCTGGGAGTCACCGCCCAAGAGGCAAGCAGGCCGCTATATCTCCAGGCCGGGCGAACAGCCCAGCCTCATTGTCAGTGTGCAAGTTCGGCGACACACTGGTTGGAGCGCTGGCTGGAGCAGCGCTAGCTTGGAGCAGCGCTGCTGGGGAAGAACCAAGGACTCAGAGGAGGAAGAAGGACAGGAAGGGGGAGGAGTGCCAGAGGTACTTACCTGGCTATGGTATCAGCCATCTTCATCACCTTGGTGGGCGCTGCAGCAGGAAGGCCCCAGCTGGGGTTGAGCTACACCAAGAAGCTTCGAGGCAGAGTCAGGCATGGCGGCCTGAGCTAGGGCAGCCATGGCTGCTTTGGGTTGTCCTTTGGACATCTGGGCAAGGCCTAGTGGTCCGCCATATCCTCGGCCTATGAGAGTGAAGAGTGGGAGAGGCGGTCATGGCTACGGTGGACCTCAAGTGACACCTGCAGTAGAAGAGGGATTCGGACTTTGATTCTGGTTCAGCTATCCAACATATTAATTTTTCTTGTGTGAATAAGAGAGGAGAAGATAAGGAGGAAGAGAGGGTTGAGCGAAGAAGAAGAGCTTTATCATTTGTCTATGCTGGTGTAAATCATCTTCTTCTTCTTTCTTACTGCTTCTTCTTCTTCTAATCTTCTCTCTCCTCTCAAGTTCATTCATTTCTTTCTGCAATTGGACGGCATTGTACTATCTGATGAATGTGTATCTCGAAATTAGCCAGGATCATAACAGGGGAAGTGATTGGAGCAGCTAGCTTACGGCATAAAATAAATGTTTAGTAAGCTGCTCCATGACTCGGTGAGGGTTGCTATTGATTGGGTCATAAGCTGGTTTGAATCGACTGGAAGGAAGGAAGTTTGTCGCGGTCGGAGTAAGAGGGAAAGGGGCGACCTTTGGCGAGAAAGAAGGCGAAGAGGGATGGTTGAAAAAACTTGAAAGTGAGCTTTTCATTAATTAGACGAATGGTAGAGTTTGATTCAATGAATATTTTTTTTGTGGGAATCAGATAGGATGGTAAGACAAAAATAGGGCATCCCTATCCTATGGGGAAGTCGAGCAGTCTTCTGATTGCCTGCATCCTATGTCCGTACCTCAAATGTGTAAGTTCCTGAAGAGTTTGGGGAAGGATGCGCGCCTACTACGCCTAGTTAAGGGGATTTAAGCCTAGTTAAGGGGATCTGGTTAGTCGACGATGTCTCGCTGTTTGTGTGTGGAGGAAGTGGGGGAAAGGTGGAGAAGCCAAGATGAAGGAATTAAATCAGGAAATTTCAAATTTGAGGATAGCTACGATTGCAAGTTGACTTTGAAGAGAGAACAGAAGACAGTGAAAAAGGTAAATGGGATTTCCAGGGGTGCAGGGAGGAGGGTAAGAGTGCTGAACAGGAAACTTCAAAGTTGAATGTTGGTTAAGGGCAAAAAGTAAATAATTTTTCGGAAGACTTAGTATGGAAGTTGGTGAACGGGCTGCTGGGGTTATGGGAGTTTTCAGGATTTCCTCTTGTTTACGAACCAGAAGCAAAAGAGAACTGTGAATTCTGATTAA